ATAAAAGTCAAATATTATAGGCGGGAAAAACTTACATGGATATACGTGAATTTAATAATTAACTAGTAATTTCACCCGTGCGATGCACGGGATTAGAATAAAATTAATGCAAAATAATATTTCGTTTATATCATAAATTTAAGGTGTCAAAATTAGAATAGTTTATATTATTAATTGCAGAAAGACCATAAAAAAATGGAAATAAAGAACTTTTCTAGTCAAAATTTCATGATACATCATAATAAGCAAAAAAAATATTGCATAATTATATTGTCGATTATTTTCCCAGCATGCAACGAACAATTCAATGCATCTAATAAAATTAACACAGTAACAATCACTTGGTTGTACACTTGTAGTCCCTATCACTACCAATATAATTTTTAGGGGTTGAATTTTTGTAGAACCTACACCTAGTGAATTACACCATGTAGTTTTTAACCGTAGATCTACATATAATAACACACACGTCCATATGTATGTGCGCTTAGTGGATAATTATTTATGTAGATGTACGGTTTAAAACTATATGGTGTATTTAACCGGGTGTAGAATCTCATAAACCTAGTCAACATTCAAAATAATTAATAACAAAATGTTGTACAGTTTCAAATGCTACAGGATTGGAGTATGGGAGTTGATTTAAGTTAGCTTTATAGACTTAGCATATGACCATTTAAATGAGATGCTTAACTGTAAACACAAAACTAACTTTAGATTTGTGATGCACGAAATTTTTGTATTTTTAGAGATTATTTAAAAAGAAACACATAAAAATAAAAATATATGGAAAAAAATATTTAATATAATTAATGAAAAATGTACATGATTCGAGATTTTCAAAGTTTCTTTAAATATTTTGTATATGACTTAGTGCAGTGATATTATTATTATGTCAACCAGGCCAGAAAACTTAAGAATACAAAAAAAAAATGAATTAAAAATATTCTTATTCATAAAACTGAAATGTAATTTTTGTAAACATATTAGATGTCCAGAATAAAAGATACATAAATATATTGAAAACATATTACCATTTGACTGAGATGCTTGGTTATACGCCACAACTTTGGAGTAATACATTGAGTGTATAACCCTAACACTTGCTAGTTGTGGGAACCTTACAAACTGCTGTCAGCTAGCTAGCATTCTTTAATCTTCATCAATCTTTTATAAAAAAACACAAACGCATGAAAAAAATATTTAGTATAGGTAGACATTAATGATGCAAATGACGAAATTAAATTAATTTTTACGTTTAGTTGTTAAGAAATTACAAATGAAACGATACACATCTTTTCTTTGAAGGAAACTCTCAATACATAAATAAAAGAATTTTCAGAAGAACATTGTTCATAAAGGATACAAATATTGATTAAATTTCATGCGAATAAACCTGGAAAAGTTTTGATTCCCTAAAATCTCTATCCCCCAAATTTTGATTTGCAAGCACTTAAATAGTTTAATCCACCAACAAATAATAATAGTGAAACAAATAAATCCTTAATGGAAAAAATACCGACAATTTCACATTAAAATTTAAATTCCAAAAGGGTATAAAATTAGATTTGGAGAGAGTTTAACAAACAATAAACTAAGAAAGCAATACGTACCTTGTGGTCGATATTTTTCTTTACGTATGTAGGGATGTTATTGTACAGGTTTTTGTCTTTCAAAATGCTCTACTAAGAAGAAGAAAGAATGAAGAACATGATAATAGAATAAGAACAAAAAATAAACATTGAATAGAAGTGGAAAGGAGTGGTAATCGACAATAAAATGACATATTTTATATTTCAATAAACGAACATTTAGTAGTCGGACAGTTGAAGAAAATGGAAAATAAATAAAAAAATTTATAGAATTACAGGTTTGCCTTTAAAGTTTGATAAATTATTATCTACCATTGAAGTGGTTCTAGCTATCTATAAACTAAGGGCAAAGCTTAAGGGGGGAAATTAGAATATTATGTAGAATTTGGATTGTTGCCAGAAATCGCCCGTTGAACACGCCCGTTGAACAAATAATTGCTAAACGAACTGCAGACAATAATCAAAGTTGGAAGCATAATATTGCAACAGATAAAACAATATGAAGAACCAATAGTAGCTTCCTCGGCCTACCTAATTTTCACTGATTAAGCATAACAATATAAATTAAAAGGATTTCATTTAAAATTATCACATAATTCATCAACGAATCCAATACAACGAATTTAAGTAACAGTGTCCGTCGTAAAAAATAGAAGAAATTGAAGATTTTATCTCTGAACTTACTTTCAATATGACAAAAGTGAGTAGGTTCATCGGTCTCCTTGATTACACCT